GACGTGACATGTTCGTACGAACCCTTTGTACGAACAAAAGTAAGAGAAATTTAGGAGAAGAATACGAACATGTTCTTGCATGAGGCCCATTGTTCTCTCAGCCCATGCAGAGAGGGATAAATGGAAGGAAACACACGTTTAGTATTTTTATCAACAGCTTTTAAATCATTTTTTCCATCCTTAACAGTAGATTTTTTTTCCTTTTCATTTGTATTGGGAGGAGAGCCACTTTTAAGCATACACATCTCTGAGATCAGTGCCTTGTTTTCCCTCCTGAAAGCTTCCTCCTCCCACACTGATAAACATTTTTATGATGCTCTATTTCATTCAAGTCAGAGACTTTTATCATTTTTCTTGATTTAAGCTTTGATTCATGTTGCAGTAACTGGTCCCGAGGGTGGTTCAGCTGTCTGCAACTGAAGCTTCCCCCCTCCGGGAAACCGAACTTGTCAGACCACACCCGCAGACTTGACGTGGCTTCTTCGCCATTTTTTTTACCATAGCTTTAGCACATGGCCCCTCTGGTGCTAACATGGGCTGAGCGACAGATGTAAACTGACCCATCACTATAACTCGTGCCTCAGCGCACTACCTAACAAACTTCCTTAAAATGGAAATCTGGCAGCCGCCTTTAACTGACTTTTAGCCTACCCTATTTCCCTGAAACAGAAAACGGAAAATTAATTTTCCCTCAGCAGTTAGCCTGGCTAACTACCTACTCTAACCAGGTTGAAACTAATTCCCTCCTGGCTGCGTCAAAACAACAAAGTCAAACCTCCCTGTTTTAAAACTCGGTCTGGAATAAAAACACTCCCAGAAGCCTACCTCAGCTAAAAGTCATTCAACCGCTGAAATCAACCAGAGCAGGCATCTAACAAATAGATTTTTAGAGTGTGCTGAGCCCAAAAGAGTTAGCCGTAGCACATTCGCTCTTTTACTTATTTTTTTTTCCCAAAAACGTAAAGAAGATATTTAGCTCACCATGTTTCCGTCTGACAGGTTCTTTCCAGCTCCATTCCCGAAAAGCACCCACAGTGGCCGAGTCAAAAAGTAGAATCCAGCGTGGGCACGTTGCAGAGGGGGAAAAAAGAAAAACTTTCTCTCTCCGTCCAGCCGACAATCGGCCGCAGCGGGTAGCTTCCGGTCGCGGAAACTGCCTCTATGACAACGCCAAAATCTGTCATGACAATTAAAGGCAGAAACACATTGAAATAATGCCAGGAGAAAAGTCTTGCGTGTATGGGTCTTAACATTATATTTTTATGGGCAGACAATAAACAGAAAACAATCATGAAGTCTGTTGAACGTGGCCACCGTCATCAGGGGGCAAACCAATGATATACTCCCAGCTAACACCATGTGACATGTAACAACCAGTCATAATCCGCCTCATGTTACCATCAGCCAATGACAGCTCTCAGCTCAAGGAGTTTAAGTATCTGCACAAAGAAAGAGGTCAGGACGATGCTGGAGTCCTGACGTCTGGAACAAACAGATTAAGAGATAACATGAGTTATCTTAAGATTGGAGCAGTGGACAGTGTCAAGGTGACACAGATATAATTAGTCCATGACAACAGCTTCAGACTTTATATTATCAAACCAATTTCACCATCAAAGATAGTGTCGAGATGTGACAATCACAAACAATCCCAATCTTTTACATGTCTTTAAAACAAACAATTAAAAACCGACAGGCAGATAAATGAGATCTGTTCTTTTTTCTGAATTTTTTCATCTTTGTGATTTTATTTTGTTTACATATATATGTATATAGGGAACATGCGGACAGGAAGTAAGAGGGGTTTGTACAGTTGTCAAACATTGATAAAAAATAATTAAAAAAATAACAGGGTTTCTTATGTTCTGTTCTGCTTCTGACCTCGGTCAAATGTAGTGACGTCACTAACGTTGAAAATTGAATGGCTCCTTGAAACAAATGGATCTTCAAGATCCAGCTCCCTTCAATGAGCCATTTATTCCATCTGCAATCTCATGTTCACCAGATAGTTTTTGTGTGATCACCCAATAGTTTTCCATGTTCACCCAATTATTATTGTTCTAACCAGATACATTCTTGTATGCACCAGAAACTTTATTTTTTTTTGCATTCACTACAAATTTCTCATGTTCAATACATTTTGTGACATTCTTACCAGTTTTCTATACTCTTCACATCAGTTCATGTACCAACTAGTTTCTGATTTGCACCAGATAGATTTTTTTTCTCACAGAACACCGATGTTGCTTTAGTGGTTCTGTGAGTTTTGGCTGGAAAAAATCAAAAACAAAACATAGCCCACCCTTTGAGCAACAAAACGTTGCCAGCCAATATGCAGCTGATAAACAACTTTGCACGTGTGACTGTTTCTCATTTCTCTTTTGTAAAGCATTCATGCAGAAATATTAAACATTTGCTATCAGTCACAATAATGACCTTATGTGCAAATTATAGAAGGGCCTTGATCATACTTGCCCGTACCAGGAAGGAAAACCTACGAAGTGGAGAAAGAATGGGTGAAAGGAAGCGATAAAATGGGAGAGAGGGTCGTAAAGGGGAGCGAAATGAGAAGAGAATTGGGGGCAGCCAGCAGAGGAGGATGGGGAAAGAGGAATAACAGATGGGGGAAGGGAAAACTCAGTTTGTAAAGAAAATAGCAACGGCTGCTGTGCTCAGCACAAAACAATAGTAGTATTGTAGTGCAACACACAATACTGGGAACAGCTCAGGTCCCCATGTTTTTTTACTCTATCAGCATGTCATAGATAATTGATAACAAAAACTACACTTTAAGCTTTGAAATGTAACTTTTTTACATTTCAATGCAATGTTTCTAGAAAAAGTTTGAAAATTTACACACAATTTAAATATTATGTTTTCCTTTTGCAGAGCATGCTTTTACTAATCCATCAAGTTTGTTCATTTTTATGAAATAAATGCTGTTATTTCTATAAAGTTAAAGCAGATGACATTTTTGTCCTTGCCTGTGTATGTACATATGTGTGTTTTTGTGTATGTCTTTTACTAAATTATACCATGAACCTCTGGATGCATTTTAATAAAACTTTCAGGAAATCTTATCGATACGTGAATGACCGACATTGAATGTCACTATCATATATTTGTGAGGATTCTTAGTCCTTCAGGACATGGAAAATTAAAAGAAAAAAGACAATACAATTGGGCTTCTGTTCTGTAGCTAAAGACGTGTGGGGCTACAAGATTTAAACTGACTCCAGGTTGGTATATTTTTAATACTGGATTAATCCGTCACCCCCACCTCACTGGTGTAAAAGTAAGATGTAATGAGACACGAGGTTCAGACTGCAGTCCCATTGAAGAATATTAGATTTGTATCCAAGTCAGTACCACATACTGAAAAGACCTGGGTCCGATTTGAAAAAAAAAAAATCGTAAAAAATATTGAGTCATGTTTGCCTACAGTGTGAAGACAGACTTTTGATTTTATAAAACAGAGAGTCCATTTTAATATGGTACACAAAAAACAAGCCTTTCACATTTTACAGCAAACAAAGCAGTGTTCCTGCCTTCAAGCTGGGCTCAAATCTCACAGTTCAACATTCAGAAAATGAACAACTTGAAAATAATATTTGCTTCAAATCTACATTCACAACAGTTGTGTTTAATTGTTTTTCATACTTCAGGGAAATTATTCAGACACCTACACTTTTAATGTTCAGCATTCCTGCTGCCATTCTGTTCTAGACAGGCCAACATTTTGTGCTTTTAGGTCTCATTTTAATTCTATTTGTTTTAATAAAATAGTACTAGTATTAATTTATTTTATTAAAATACAAAATATAAACATTTATAACAACTGTTATAGTTTAGTTGTTTTATATATTTATCTGT